TGTATATATATATATGTATTGTATATGTATATATATATATATATGTGTGTGTGTGTGTGTGTGTGTGTGTGTATACGTATATGTATGTGTGTATGTACATGAATATGTTCATATTTAATAAATTGTATTTATAGTTGTATATTCGTTTTTATAGGTATCTATATATTTCTATATCTAAATATGCATATATATGTACTTTTCTATTTTCTATTTTACAAATATCACTAAATATAGAGTTGTTTTTATGTTCATATATAAATCCAGAGACATATTCATGCGAGTGCAAGTATTCGCAAGTATATGTTATCGTTGTCGTCAAATACATATGCACGTACAAGGCTTTTGTATTTGTTTGTATATTGTGTGAAAAGATCTTCTGTTGAACAGTAAGTTGTTATTGATACCATACCTACACACGCACCCCTCACACACACACACACCCCACACACACACACAGAGGAGATTAGTGCTGAGATGAAGAACATCGAAGCACGGGAAGGGTCAGAGGCAGCACCGCAGGTGAACGCCGACAAGTACTTCTACACATTCAAGCAAGCATGCGAAACACAAACCCCGTCCATAGTGGGGACGTCACTCGACTGTCTACAGAAACTCATAGCCCACGGGGCGCTGAAGGGCGAAGGCACAGTCACCGACGGTGACGGGAACGAAACCAGCCTCATGGATGATATAGTAAACACCATCTGTGAGTGTTATCTGGGTCCTACCACCGACGCCGATGTCATGCTGCAGATATTGAAGGTGTGGCGGTGGCTGTGTTTGTGGTATGGCTGTGGGGGTTGCTGGTGCAGTTCATTTGTGTGTCAGTAACTGTGCTCTACGTGTGGCGTGGCTTGTGGAGATGTGAGTATACTGTGGTGTGTGCGGAGTACTATGTAGTATGTGCGAAGGCTAACTGTGCTACATGCACGGCTGTGATCTCATTCGGTGGAGAGTGACCGTAGGTAAATATATATATATAAGTTTTGTGTGTGTGTGTATATATGTATATATATATATATCTATAATATATATATATCTAAATCTATATATCTATATATATATATTTATATTTATATATATATATGTATGTATGTATGTATGTATGTATGTATATATATATATATATATATATATGTATGTATTATGTATGTATGTATATATATATATGTGTGTGTGTGTGTGTGTATATATATATGTGTGTGTGTGTGTGTGT